AAGAATATTCAATGAAATTCTTGAATATCAGTCGGCCATTTGGAAATGATAGCTATGATCCGATTCCGAGTTCGAACTCTTCCCTGAGAAAAAATGTTCCTCACTTTCTTCTGACATGTCTATTCTTATATTTTCTAATCAGTACTTTTTCCACATAATAGTTTTCTAGAAGATACCTCATGATATTTTAGACAAGCATGAAATCAATCTGAATAGTTCTTTCGATCTTTTACTAAACAATAACTGATACTTCAAGATGAGTGTGGATGGATAGTAGAATATACTCATCTCCATACCTTAGTTAGGAATACATCGACATGGACGATCTTGAATGAGTATTAGAGAGCGTTGTAACAACATTCATCATGAATTATTATATATTTTATTCTTCATCATATGTTATGTGTATGTGTATTCATTCTAGTATATGTTATCCATTCTTGTACAAATAAGTTAATCTTTTTTTTTCTTTTCTTTTCTTTTCTTTCCTCTTTCTTCTTTCCTTCGCCCTTAAGAATTTCAATAAAGAAATAAATAGAAAAGGGAAGTTGTTAAGAGTTGGTTAGCCAGAAAATCCGATTATATTCTATTAATCAAGTTACAGTCGAGGACCCCTGTAACAATGAGCAATGCATTTGGCACTGTTAAATAGATTATTTCAGTATCAGTCTCATCCACACTTCCGAAGATCTTTAGCATGATACTCGGAAGAAATATATCTATTGTTTCGCTTTTCACTTCGATACACAAGAATCGTTTTTCTTTAGAAGAGAATGGCGATATATCTTTCCAACATTTCCACGTAATTGAATGATTCAATGGTGTTGCTTCTATGCAGTACCTGAGCTTATTACAGAAATAGAAAGAAGAAGTCAGTCATGCCAATCTCTCTTTGTATCTAATGAGAAAAACACCACGATGAAACAAAACAAATAAAAGCAAGAATATTGATGCTCCAGTAGCATTGTTCAAAACAGTATTGTGCTTTACACCTGCTAAATGATGAGTTTGCACCGTAGCAATGTAAAGAACAGTACTTGGTACGAATCTCTCGATCAACGCAAATATTATTACTTCCTGCATTTCATTGAAGAATCTTCGATCACATTAGTGATTTTCAAACGATTCCTTTGAGGAATTAGTGGATGTCTACTGTGATCTTATGTCAGATTTACTTGGAAAGAAACAATTCTATGTTTCTAACGGAGGATGCTGCGTCCAGGAGTGTAGGTGCAGATATGCAAATGGTGGCGTGAGTGTGGGTGTAAGTCTTCTCTTCATGCACATCCACACAAACCTCACTCACATTCATACTCTACATCCCACACCCACATCGACCCACACTCTCGCCTCACACTTCACATTCTCATTCTCACAGCTATAAATATACTTTTCTCTATTTTTCACAGTGCTTGTTCAACTCTATTTAGACATCATGGATAACGAAAATTTCAAGATCTACCTTTTCTCGTCTAGAAAATAATGCAACATATTTGCCAGATGCTATGGGAAAGTTTCTAAAACTACCAGTAGTGTCAAATTTGAAAGCTGAATTCAAGTATTCAACTATTCAAGTACTCAATTAGTCAACTCCTGGAAAGTCACCAGAATCATCTAACACCGACAGGTATTGTCTGGGATGTTTATAGCATCCTCTATGATGCTACAGACATTCCCTAGGATACTACAGGAAGTATGTGAGAAACTTGAGCTACTGTGCAGCACTGAGTAGGAATAATGGTTTACACAGAGACGTGCATGGGTCGCGGCTCTTCGTGGGGCGCTTCGCGTCCCCACGCCGTGATGCTGAAATAAAGGGTGTGTTAGTATTCAAACTTTAGTCCAACAAAATTGAACAATGTATCCATTTAATTTTTTTCTATTTTTCTTTGTCGTTTCTTACGATTACCCGTCACTATTGATGGCTTATTGATAGTTATTATCTACGCAAAAAAAAATTAGTCTTCATTTCGTAACATTCACTCCAGCAATCGGTATACATCAGAAATTTCAATGCATTATTGCGGGAGAACTCTTGCATTATTTTGGTATAACACTCGAACATACTCGCTGATTTCTACAATTTCATCTAATATACTTGCTATCGAAGTGCGCTAGGACTGCAAGTGAAAAAGGAACTCGACCAACGCAATATTTCAGAAACGATAGCATCCAATGAACGACAGCAGCGGCTATAAGAGAGCTGCACAAAACAATACAAACTAAATACTCCTCTCACTTTCAATAGCACTGAATCGACAATGTAACAACTAATCAATATCGGAAGATATCTTCTCCTTTCGAACAACAAAAGTAAGTCGTGTCAAGTAACTTACCATGCTTGTATGCAGTGATGTTCCAACTTCCAATAAAGTAAATTTCTCTCATAAATTATCAAATTTCAGAAATTACTCTCATAGAAATATCATACCGATTGGAAAGTTTGCAAATTACCATTAAAGCAATCGAAACGAACTGTTACAAAATATAGTACTTTCCAGAAAATTTCGATAAACTTCGAAATTTTCTCGGACATATTTTATGAAAATTTCCACTAAATCATGGGATAGAGTCTTCTTTTCATCATATGTATATATATGTTTATATAATTTGCTTAAGGAAATTTCAGAATTTACTGGAAAATTTTGTTGTAAATATGGAGAAGTTTCTCTTGTATGGGATAATTTGCAGTTTCATTGTCAAGATTAGTTTATGTAAATTTCGAGAAATTTTGGTAACTTCTCATAAGTTTGTAGTCGCTGTTTTCGATGGGTCATGAAAGTACGATAAAAATTTCCATGAAGGGGGGAATTTACTTTTTTCGAAACGCCGAACACACCTCGTGCAACATAGTGAAACGTGTTCTTTTTTTTGCAATATTGGCCGTATCATCACCTTTCTTCCTTTCTTCTCTGCCTATTTTTTTCCTTTTCTGCATCTACTGAATTTCTTCTTCCTTTTAATATATGCGTCATAAGTATCACATATATATTATATGTGCATGGTCGTTTTTATTGATAATAATATCATACAAAGTAAGTCGTTTTGTTTTACTAATATTGAATTTTATCATTATTATTTTATAGTCGCTGAGGAATTGATAGAACCAATAGGATGTATAAAACGTATGAGTGACTGATTTTTTAGTATTGAATGAGTTACAAAATAACTTACAAGTCACTGGTAAACGAATCATTTTATTAGTCACGCACTATAAATAACAACAAAGTTACCTCAGCCGTATAAACAAGAAGGTAAAAAAAAAGTGAAAAAAATTACACGATCAATACTTTCGGAGTGGTTTTATAGACTTCTTAGTCGAATGGAAACTTCATTCTAAGAGATATTCCTACTTCACAAGAATTTAAATCCCACTCTTTTTTTCGTTGTGATGTTGGTGACATTAAAATTCTTCTAATTGAAGAAAATAACAGTTTGAATCAAGTCGAAGGGGGTTTTGAAATATAATCAATCACGCTTTGAAAAATACGAACGTAATACAGATTATCTATTATTTTATAAAAAAAAAACAGCAAGATGAAATACTAATTATCATGTTTCAGTCTTTTGCTGAACAACAGTTTTCATTATCATATTTGAACAGTCATTAAGTGACATTTGAGCGAGGTAAAGCTAGAAAAAGAAACCGAACAAAAATTGTTTGTTATGAAGAATAGCTGAGAAATTCGGAATAAAAGAGCAAAAGCTCACACATTCAGGTGTAAATGTATAGTTGACACTAATTAAATTGACTTAATAATATTATGTGAAACTGATAATTGATTCAGATAAGTTACATAGATACAAAAGAAAAAAATAGCAGTTTAGAAGGTAGAATCACAGCCGTCTAATTGTTGTAAACAGAAGTGCGAGTTATGACTGTGTAATCGAATGATCCGTACGTATTTAAATATTCTCTGATAGATTCAATAATTTTTCGATAGCTGTTTATTTACAATCTTTTGTTATGAAAATTTTAATAAAAAAAAAAAGATATTATAATTTTGTAACGATATACTTATGTCAAAAAGGCAAGGTATATTTGTAATAATCTCAAGATTGCTAAGTGATTTCTGCCTATTATGTCTTTTGTACCTATTTAACTGTTTCCCATAAAATAGAGTTTTTTTTTCGGAAACAAACTATTGTCATTTTATTATAAACTTTTTCGAATAATTTTCATAACGATCAATTTTTGCTTGTCCAACTTTGATGGGTTCACTCAGTGCATGAAATTTTGATCTTTTAAGCATCAATTATATCATTATTCTCGGGTTTGTAAATGTCAAATTTTTATGAGTAATGTTATTGCATAAATTCTAGTTTTTATTGTACTTTTTGATTTAAACAAATAGATGATCTTTGAATATTTATGAAAATAAGTAGTGAGTAATATACGTTAAACATCAGTTTTGGAAGAATCTTTCACCAAAAGGTTTGAATATTGTTAGAGTCGAACCTTGTTGTCAATCGGCAGAAAAATGTGTGATTATACAAGGTTTATACTCGACTTTGTAAAACATTTCGTACTACACAATTTACCTGTGTAGTCTTTAGTTTCATACGACCGATATGATTCAAAAGTAGTTACCACATTTCTGCGATGAACCAAAAAAAAAAAGAAAACCTAAATATTTCAACTTACTCGTTGTCATAGCTTCATAGTAACCTATAGTCGTTTTTCGCACACATGATACTAAATAATCATTTTCTCCTTACTTAAGCATCTTTTCTAGCAATAAAAAAACATGACCTGGTTGTCTTCACAGAAGTATTCTTTTTTTGTTTTTAGAACAATCTACTTTTCAATCTTGCTTCCTTGATGGCTGAACACTGTATTAGTTTTAATCCAAGTGTATTTAAGCCGAATATATGTCGTGACTGTTTTCAAGACGAACAACACCATCAAAATACTGTAATTTCAAATGAACATAGATCATCTGCTGTTCAAACATCTACCTGTCATGAAACAACTAATAACAATGATCAATACAATCAGAATAAAACAGCTACAAATTTTAAACAAAGATCAGTTCAACCATCATCCCAAACAACTATGCTTTCTCAATGTCAATACGGCATTTCATGTTCTATAAGAGATAGTAACCATTTTGAGCAGTTTTTGCATTCACCCATTCACGAAAGAGATCATACTTCAAATACAAGTCCTTCTCCAATGAATAGCAATAATAAAGCTGCTCAACATAGCACAAATGAGCAGAACATGATACCTTCAAGTGACATATTATCTACGAAGACACTTCCACAATGTAAATATGGTTTATCATGTTATAGTACACATCCTAGTCATTTTGAGCTTTATTCACATCCATCTGATCGTAAAAGTCAAGAAAAATCCTCGAAGTTTGATGACGTTAGCACCCCTGTCATTAGCAATGATAGTCCTTCTTCAATGACACCTACGTCTAGTCCTGCTAATCAATGCAAGCTCAAACTAAAAAGAAAACGTGAAGAACGGAAGAAATCTGAACTTCATTTCATCGAATTGATACAAAATAAAATAGAAAACTTGACCGTTCAGTTACAATTGAAAGAGGAAGAAGTTACAAAATTGAGTCAAGATCTAACAAAATTGGTTACATATAATCAACAATTAGAAATGACACTTGAAGAAGAAATAGATCATCGTGAACGACGTGAGTTAGAACGAAAGCAAATTTTGGCTATTCCAAGACAGACACCGATGTATTGGGGTCTGAATGCATTTGAAGAATCTTATCGTGAAATCGAATTATCGAGTCAATCACCTGAATTTAATATTATCAAACAACTGTTGAATTCAACAATATCAAAACATGACAATCAACACGGAACGGTTAATAATCGAGATCCAACGAAATTTTTAATAAACAGAATAGTACGAATACATAATAATGAATTATGGCATCTTTATTGCTTCAAAAAGGTGAGAGAGTTGATTTCACAAAAAAGACTTCAAAAATTCTTGTAAATTTTAAGGAAACATCAAGTCGAAGTACTCCTTTGATAGGATAGTAATTGAAATTGTTTTTCTCCTGACAAGCGCACACACACACATACATTGGGTGCCAAGAAAATTTCAAAATACAACATATTTGTATGAGAAGTCTTGAAAACAAAACAGCGTCTTTCTTTGCAATAGATTCTTATGCATGAGTATATGAAGTAACATCTCAGAATTTCCTAATTTTCTTAAAAAATATTTTGTAGAGAATAATAAGTTTAGTAATCACTGAAAATTTTCAGCTTGATTCTATCACTTATCTTAAGACCACTATTTTTTAATTTTTGCAAATTTTCTTCGAACACTATTACTTTTGTCTTTCAAAATGAGAGATCAATCACTTTTGATTGACAGTCATCTTTTCCTTATTATCCTTAAAATACATTTGAAGATACTGGCATAAAATTGCTAAATCAGACCTTCGACATTTTTAGTGTTAGCAAAAAAGACGATATGCTTACAGAAGGATCACTTCCATACAAAATATCATAAAAAGCGAAAAATTTTCCGAATGAATTTTATCAAAAAGTAATCAGATATTCGTCAAAACTATCTCATTTCGAAAAACAATTAAAGTATTAGAAAATATTCATCAATAAAAATTTCAATAGTTACTAGACTCATTATTCTCTATAATAATTTTTTTTTAAAAATCAGAAAATTCTGATATACCACTCCATGATTGATGTCTTAGTCTCTCAGAAACTTACTCTTCGACACTAGCTTACCGGTTTATCTAAGTAAAGTAGAAATATTTGAATATACAAGCGATATTGTTTCCCTGTGTTTCATAAATTATTTACTGAGAACACTTTGATTTTGTATTATTTTAAATTTTATTATGGATCGAAACTATATACATTGAACAATCATGACTAATCGTTACTGTTTTCAGATAGATTTGATCTATATTGTGATATTGCTACGTTATATTAGAAGTACTTTAATTGATAATACATATATGCGGCAATATTGTCACGCAAATAAAACTCTTTTTCAGCTGAGTTGTCAACTCTGTGATTTGCATTGAGCTGCTTCCTTTTGTTCTGCATACAAATATATATATATATAGTCTTAGTTTCAACGAACGTCCATATCGATGTGTCCATAGTCAAATAGAAATTTTAATACTGAAGTTGACTTTTTTACATCAATCTGAATTAGGTTTCTCGATTTTCTTTTGCAAATATGAGGTGCTATATATTTGACAGAAAGTGCGTCACTTTGACTTTCTAACAGATACAGTGTATGAAGTCATGTATTTCAGTAATAATTGGTTCCTTGGCTTTGAAAAAATATACTTGTTATACTGCGCAGCAGCATTATAGTTATCATCCATTTCTTATAATTTTTTAAGATAAAACTGATATTCCACTTAACCTTAATATTACTCTTCTTGCTTTTGAATACATTCTTGAAATATCCGAACGTTTTTTTTTGAAAGATTGCCCACTTATAATATAAATCTTGATAAGTATTTCGATTTTTGTTATAACGATTGCATGTTTTGAAATCAATTCATTTAGATTGACAACTGTTTTTTCAGTCGACTAATTTCTATGCATTCTCTATTTTTAGGACATAATCATTCGTCAAAATAATGATAGACTGGCTGATTGTGGTAGTTCAATTTACTTGGAAACTTGTCCAGTACTGACACCTCTATTAGACACACGAACAAATGAATATTGGCTTTTTCACGGATGTAGCCAAAATAATTTATATCATTTGTTACATAATGGTTATGATCCCCGTGTTTCCAATTTGAAGGGTAGGTTTGGAGGTGGTTTTTATTTGGCTGAGAATTCCTCAAAATCAAATCGATATATTCCTTGCCCTGGATGTGGTCAAAATTTTATAGGTAGTATTTTGGGATGTCGTTGTATCAATCAAGAAGATCTCGAGTTTTCAATGATTCTCTATCGTGCTGCGTTGGGCGATGTGCATGTAGCATTGAAATATGATAGAGAAAAATACAGTCATGGTCCAAATGGGCAATGTATTCGTCGTCCACCGAAGAAAGCACACAGTAAAGAATTGTATGATTCAGTAATGGGTGAAAGTATGAAATATGGTGGTGATCGATTGAAACATCGTGAATTTATTCTCTATGATGCCGGTCAAGCTTATCCTGAATATGTTATTTATTTTCGTCGTTCAGCAAAAAATCCACTTCAACCAAGTAACATAGAAGATTTGAAAAAGAAATGTCAGCATTTCTTAGTTAATACATTTCGATTAAGTCCATAATAAACCCGACTTCTTTGAATTTTTATTAGACAGGAAATAAAGATTATCAAGTTAAAAAAAATAAATGAAAATCTCCTGAAATGTTCATCAAAGGTCACGCAAAAATGAATTTATCAGTGGAAAAAAACATATGCTACAAGAACTTGCGCTTAGGAGCCATTCATATAGGGTATGGGTGTGGGTGGGTGTAGACGAGAAAATCACTTACACCCACACCCATACCTTAGTTGATTATTATTTTTTTCTGATGGTATTCATTTCGACTACGTAAAGATGCGCTTTCTTTAAAATAAAATAAAATTCTTTCCTTAGTTATGTTAAGTGATTGTTTTATCATGATAATAAATGGTCTATTTAATAAGAAACCTCCAATAAAACATAACGAAATGTTACAAATTTTTACATTTAACAAATATACACTATATACTTTAACGATTTTCAATACATTTTAAATTATAAACAGTAATATAATACAAAATCATTTGTTATATTTAACATTTTGTCAATTTAGAAATGTTCTAATTTTTGTTTACGAACACATCTTCAAAACGCAATGCGTATTTTTCTTTTCGTCATTACTCTGACAATGGTAATAAAGCTGGCCTATGAATTCGATTCTAAAGTTATTCAACACAATTTTATAAATTTATCATTTCAATACTTTGAATTTTTTTTCATTAAATATTGAAGATTACTCCAAATAATCATGAAGATATTTCGAAATTACATCTAAACACAGGACATGAACGGTTAATAACTGGCACATGCATGATTGTAAATATTTCATGGACAGAAACTTTTACTAATTAAAAACCAATGAAAAATTCTCACTGTAAATTTTGTCGCATGACAATTACGAAATAATTTTCATTATTATCAGTTCATCTATAAATAAAACTTAAATAACAATATTAACTGTTTTGTGTTTTTATCGTTTAAAACTACTTATTAATTACTCAAAGTAATATTTTTATAATAATACATTTTTTTATCGGAATCATCTAAAAAAAATACAGAGGACCACCTTCATTAATCCAAACACGTAAAAAAGAAATTACAACCTGGTTAAATTTACTTTTAATATAAATGAATTCACCTATCATTTGAAGAATAAGAATTCATATTTATTTCTAATTTTCAAATTACATAATGATAAATTCATTTTCATACTGTAGACATTTGTTTAGAATAGTACTCAACATATCAGTAGTTTAACTTTACATATTCTCGTTTCCTTGTAACTCTTCTTGATCTTACAATTTGACCGAATATTGTTTCGCTGTACAAACCTCTTATTTTTTCCTCTGTAACTACAATTGAAACTCGAAGTGAAATGATTGATGTATACCTGTGGATTGTATCGAAATTTAATAGACGACTTTTAGTTTACTTGTTCAACTCTGTGATGATGCGAGTTGCGTTGCTACGGTCTGTAATGGAGTCTTACATTACTATGTGTCTGTAAGGGGAGGAGGTGGCGGGGAGTCGCGAAACCTTGATCTTAAAACTTACACTCATTATTTTCTTCGAAAATATATGTGAGTTCTACAAAATCAAGCTCGCCTTTATTTTGATAAATGACTTAAATCTTTATGGTAAATAAAATAATTCAAATTAAAATAAAAAATAATAATTCTTTTTTGTCAAAGAGGTTTGCACTAGATGGATGAACACAATCAACAAAAGATGATCCTATTACAGTTACGCGTCGTTATTTACCATTTTGAAATTGATCTCTTTATGATTCAATTAATTCTTCGGTTAATCTTGCGCATGAAACAACAACTACTGTTTGTTCGTTTTCTTCTTTTTATTGAAATAGATTTTTTTTTCAAATAGCATGAAAAACATATTATTACAACTCAACGATGGTATACAGCACCAATAACAATGAAAAATATGTCTGTAATTAATGTTAATATCTATGCAGTTCAAACACTTGATAGACATCATTTAAATAAATTAAATATTTCATTTGATAATAGTCAAATTGTTAATCTTAATAATGAAGAGAATAATATTGAACAATGGACTATTGGTCGTGATATAGCATTTCATATTGGTTGGAATTTAACTATTATACCTCATATTAAAGATTTATGTGTTAAACAAGCTAAATAGATTTAGTTTTAAATAAATTTATCTTAATTTAAAAATGTTTTTTTATCTCATATAGATATATCCTCAATACAGTGAATATAATGTTCAATCATTTCATTTTAATATTAATTCAAAAAAACGAACGACTTTTATAGTATCCAATATATTTTATTAATTATGAATATGGTTCAGAAACAAATTTTACATGTTTAGTGGATGGAATAACAGATGAAGTTACTGGTAATAGACAATATTCTATAGTTAAACGTAACAATAGCAACATTAATTGGTTTTTATCCAATGGCACGGACAATATTAGCTGCATTAGGTTCACTTATTGATCCATCGATTGGTATTACACTTGTTTCTTTTCTTACATTTACTAATTCAATTTCAATTGCAATTATTGTTGCACCAATTGTTGGACTTTCTGTAAAAAATTCTCCTAAATATTATCGACAAAGAATTAATCGACAACAATGACAAAATCATTGTTTGAATGCAACACAATTAACTTATGATTGTACAGCTCCTTTTCATAAACAATATCAATCTTTTAGAAAACAACAACAACCGTTTGTTTTAAAATTAATATAAGAGAATAAAATGAATGTATAATATGATTTTTGTATGTAGTACAAAAGAATCAAAATTACGAACAAGAGAAGAAGAAGAACAAGTTCCAATGGATTTATATAATTTATTATCAGTTAGTCGAATAGCAACAGATAAAGAAATAAAACGTGCTTATTTAATTAAAGCGAAAAAACTTCATCCAGATCTAAATCCAGGTGATAAAAAAGCTGAGAATTTATTTAAAAAAGTAAATCAAGCATATGCCATTCTATCAGACGAATATAAAAGAGAACAATATGATAAATATAGTTATGAGAGTGTTAAATATACTTAGCAAAATCATTTTCCTCTTTTCATTCTCATTTTTATAAATTAAACAAGTTTTTTTTTCAATAAATTATTAGACAGAATACAGAATATGATATATGAAAATGTGTTGCACATATTAAATGAATATCTACAGAACATAATTGAGACTAATCGATTTTACTTGTAGTCAAACAAAAGCTTTTCTTCTAGTTCTGAGCTTATTACAAGTTCTTTTTTATCTATAGCAAACTGGAAAGTAAATCTTTGTCATGCATCTGATTTCTTATTTATTCTTTTTAACAAACTTGATTAAATATTTTATCGAAACCTCTATTAAATAAATAATCGATTATATTATAAAGAAGTATTTTTTTCTGATTGTCAAAATTTAAAGTTCCATCAAACATAGTCTTATTCATGATGAAATCGAACATGAAATTTGACAGATAAAAATATTCATCGTTTTGTTTTAATGAAGAAGAGGCAAATTATTCCTATTCTATACATACTTACATTAAATAAACTCGGATTAGTAGAAAATCTTTATGATATAAAATATATATTTAATATCAATCAATAAAAAATCTTCAAAGATTCATCAATATTGATCAATAAAAGTCATCGTTAAGTTCTTATTGAGATAAAATATTTTATCGGATCATCTTAATTCTACTCTATACAAAAACAGAACACATTATCAGTGATACTTAGCACAAAAGAAAATCAAATATTGTTTTGTAATAGAATAATGATAAGAGACTTAACCAAACTAAGCTGGAGCTCTTTTTACTTCAAATCGGCGGTATGCAAGTTCGTCTTCAGCCATACGCCAACAAGAAAACCATTCCTATAAATGAAGAATATTGAAATGAACAAAATCCAATGAAAATCTACGAACCATCAAATCCATATAAAAATTAAAATCATCAATATTCTACTGTTTAGCTATTTCTTCAGTACTCCACAGACCCAGGTATTGATTTATTCTATAATCTAGTTTAAGCAACATTATATTGAGACGGCTCGATATATAAATGTATACATACATTCAGATAAATAGTTAAGTTGTTCATTGGTTAATTTCTTTTCGATTTCAACAAGTTCTAAATAAACAATATTCTCATTATGAATATTTTCAGAAATGATTAATCAATCGTTATGCAAATGAAATCTATTAAATGAAAAGATTCATTTATTCATTTATTATTTGATGTTAGCACATTGATAAAAAAGCAACTATATCATTTCATAATCGATCTTGTTTGATCTATTTCAGTCATTTTCTAGGAAAACTTCAAGGCAAAGATTGATTTTATTATTTAACGTTAAATTCTATTGTCGATGTGCTTTAAATGAATACTATTCTAAGTTATGAATTATATCAACATTGTACTTCTCAGCTTGGATGTGAACATAATTATCCTACATATTGAACGAACGTACAGTTAATCGAGATCATCATCTCTTTAGATCTACTCATTTTTCTATCAATATTCACTATTCTATATATATAATGAATATGCGTCCTTCTATCAGACATCAAACAGTTATAGTTTGAATTTTTTTTATGAGAAAGTTCAAATACCAGAGAAATTCTTCATGAAAGACTCAGAGATTTCTATACTCTGTTAATCTCTGATAGATATGATTGCGAATAGAAATTATTTTCTACGTATTTGTTTTGTAATTTATGTGTACAGTTATGACTTATTCATGGTTATACTTATAGTATTAATGAATTGTCAACGAATAGAATATATAGAAATGAAACAACGAACATATTTTCTATTTATACTAATTTAACAAAACAATAAAACTATACATTTAATTCTCTAGATAACAACTTACTTGCAGCACATTCATCAAGATGTTCCTGCCGAAAAAAATAATAAGCCATGATAAAAGTCAAAAAGATTAGGTCGATTGAAAATACGTATTCAAATATTGATTTCTTGCTTTCGATTCACAATTCGTAAATCAATTTATATATGCGAAATATGCACTGAAGGACATAAACGGTCAACAAGCAAACATATCGAGCTTTGTTACATGAAGAGTTGCATATGACGAGCAGAGCCGCTGTTATATATCCGGATATTTGAATGCAAATGAAATGACTTTGTTGATGAATGAGAGAGAGAGAGAGCAACTATATGTGCATGTGAATAAAGAAAATATGTTGTAATAATATATTTGATATGGAGTATGTCTTTCATTGATTCAATCAATGCATCGAAAGGAATCAATTCTTCAATTTTTGATTCGATTTTTTTCGTCAGATAAATCAGTTTTTTTATTTTGAACAACGAAAATACTTAAATAATTATTCAATCGAAAAATATTTTGATTTATTGTTATAAGCGAATGAATTCATATGTTCAAATGATGAATTTGTGCTAGAAATGAAAGTTGAACAACGAAGAGAATCTTTAATGGGTATACATAATTCCCTTTATATTGTATTAATAGTTTAAATTTCAGAGAGGAATTTTTCTTCAATATCTTTTTCTTTGATCTTGACAAAGAAAACAATAAAAAATGTTTCAATTACGATAACTACTAAACTCTATCAATCCATATAATGAAAATCGGTAAAAAGCTGAGAATAATGTCAAAACATTCCGATTAACCACGATTTTGTTCCAATTGTCACTATATGAGAAGTTTTGAAAGAAAACAGCAAACATTTTAAAGTTAAATAAATAGTTAACATAAAATATCTAAGAAAAAAAACAGATTTTCCTCGATTTGATTTAGTTTTTGAATTATGGAATGGATCATTACAATTTTATAAGCCGTAAGTACTTTAACTCGTTTGATTATGATTATTTTGATGAAATAGAAAAGAAACATGATTAATGTATTTTCATTTAAAAGATCTTCAAATAATATAATCAATATTAATCATCTTATATAACAAATCAATAAGAACTAATAATCATTATCAGATATTTCATGTTCATGTTTATCACAACTATCATCTATAACAGTTAACTGTAATGATAAATACGAACAAACAAGAGTTAAACATGATAAAAATAATCGTCATAAGCTTAAACTGTATTTTTTATGAACGTTAAAAGAAAAAGAATTTTATTAAATCGATCTAAGAAAATAGTACATGTTTATATCGAATAGTGTGTCTCATCTGGCACGTGATGACAAGAGAAATACATACAGTAATGCAACAACAATATATACACTATTTTGTAAAAAACAAAAAAAAACTAGAGATTTTTTCCGTTTGTACACAAAAGATTCTGTTCGGAAATTTATTTTAGAAAAAAGCTTTTTTTTAATTTCGGGTATGGGTGTTATTCTTTCAGTCACACCCACACCTTTGAGAATACTGCATTAAAACTTCCTTAGTGAGGAATTTCAATAAAAATCAGATTGGCTAGCTAGACGATGAAATTAAAGACATAAAGAATAGTTTACAACAAAGTTTCGGTTTTGAAATTTCACATCGAGAATCTTCGTGTTATAAATCTAACGATTTTTTGAACTAATCCACATCTGGAATCAGGTAGGGTGTAAATCAAAGAAGATGATCTAATGGCAGAATAGAATTAAGAATAACAGCGGCTAGTCGTTGCTCTGCAAAATTCACTGAAGGAACTCTTCAGGGTGTTGCAATCGATCGGATAAATATCTGCGGTCTAGATCTGCCAAAAACTCTAAGAAGTATTTTCGAATGAAGTGTGAGAATAGTTATGCTGTACGTGCACAATATCTGAATAGAACATTTAATGGAAAACATCACGCATAGAATTCAGATTCACTCCATTCGAAGGAGATTTGAATGAAATAAAATGAATTTTTCTGCTGTTATGCACTCTCATCTGTGTGCATTCACATGTCTAAATTCATTCGGGTATATTGATATTAATTATCTAATTCGATGACTATATGGAGTAAGAACGTTACTTAAGTGGCATATCCCGACTATAGGTCTGATCAAATATGATTTATTTTAATCTAGAAGTTCAGCGAAACTCGTATGTTGGTAGCCGACACTAGCAAATGACATTATCGGTTAATGTGCTAGTAACTAATACGGACCTTTATTAGAGTTTTTAATGTGCATGATGTGTTTCCACGCTAGTGTCACGGATATGCTTTTTTTTGGTGATCTTCTTTGTAAATTGAATATAATCTCTTTTCACGGATCGTGTGGATACTGCTGCCTTAGTGCGGTTCATTTAGGTCAGAGTTGGAACTGGACAGCTTTTTTCCGTCCGTTCCGGCCCGATCAGCAACCGGCCGGATGAATTTTGCAGCGAACCTGGCAAAAATCCGGCGAAAACAACCGATCATGAAAGTATCTCTTCGCGTAAAATGGTGACGAAGGGGAATTGAATATTTAAGTGTAGAAATCCGAACCAGGAATGATCAATTTACATTTACGAAAGTTTAATAAATTCAAAAATAAATTTTGTAAGTTTAAATTGATTTTAAATTTAAATTGGATTTACATAAATTTACATTTTTTAAGATTATTTATGTTTATGTAAATTTTTTAAATTTATTTAAGTCCAGTTTAAATCAATTTAAATTCAACTTAAATTCATTTAATTGAATTTCAAACCATTTACATG